TCCCTCCCCTGCTGACCATCTTTTGTGGACATCTTGTAACCATATGGGGGTGGTCATCTTTTGACCACATGGGTTGGTCATCTTGTGTGAGGGCATGATGGTCAATTTGCATATTATCTCTTTATTATATAGGATTTGCTGGAAAAGTGAAATTCCTCAAATGAGTACAAAACAATTGCTTTTCTCTTAGAATTTTAAGGTTTTCTTCTCTAATTGTGTGAGTTTTAGTACATAAAAGCTATTAACCCCTTGTCTATCATATTTGTTACAATTATTTTCCAAGTTTTAAAATTTTAATTTAATCTAAAAATCAGATATATTTCAATATTACAGGTCAGTTATGTAGATGCCTCCATTTAATTTGAGTTTGTCTAATGATTAGGTTTTAGTTATGAATTTTTGGTACAATTATCACAGAAATGAGGCTTTGCAATGCCTCATCAGGGAGCCCATCCTTACAATGTATTCTAATAATGATAATATTCACTTTTATTACTTGGTAAAGGTGGCATCTGCCAGTCTCTTCCACTGTGATGTTACTCTGTTTTTCTATGTATTATTTTTTTCTTCATCAGCTGTCTCCACTCACTAAATATAAACTACACAAGGGTAGAAATTTATCTGTTTTGTATAATGGTATTCCCAGTGTCCTGAACCATGACTTGCACAGAGTAAATTTTATATCAGTGTATGTTGAATAAATAGCTGACAAGGACATATTAACCTGGTCTCATCTACCTCTACATCATCTTTTTTCCACTCATCCTTCATGCTCTACAGAACACACTTTATTATTCCCTGGTCATTTACTTGCATCCCTGCCTATACTGTAAGCTCTATCAGGGTTGCGATCTCACCCAACACAATATCTTCAGCATCCAACACACTGCCTGGCACAAGAGTTGGCACTCAACAAATGTTTGTTGGAGTAATGAAAGTTTTATAGGTGTTTAGAAGATTCTGAATAAGGAGGAAGATCATTTTTATTTGGATTAATTGATAAGACAATGCTTCATAAACAGTTTTTAAAATGATGGAGTGTTTTGACACAGTCCAGGTAATCCAGGTGAGAAGTGATGTGATAATAGCTTTAGACTCTGGGGGTAACAGAGTGCCTAGAGCTTTTTAAGTTAACAAAAAGAAAAAAATAGAACTCATATAATCATCTAAATAGATGTAGACAAAGCATTTGACAAAATCCATTACCCATGCATGACAAAAATTCTCAACAAAGTGGATATAAAGGGGCCATATCTCAACATAATAAAGGCCATATATGATAAACACACAGCTAACATCATACTTGATGGTGACAAGCTGAAAGCTTTTCTTCTAAGATCAGGAACAAGACAAGGATACCCACTTCACCACTTTTATTCAATACTAGAGGCCCAGTGCATGAAATTCATGTCGGAGGGGGGCATCCCCTCAGCCCAGCCTGCACTTTCTCCAATCCGGGACATCCCTCTCACAATCTGGGACTGCTGGCTCCCAACCACTAGCCTGCCTGCTTGCCTGATTGCCCCTAATTGCTTGTGCCTGCCAGCCTCATCAATACCT